GGGGGGAAGGGGTTCAGCTCGACCTTCGAAGAGGAGGGCGGGGCGGGGAGGAAAGGGGGAGTGGCTAGCGCGAGATCGAGGAATGGGTTATGAACTGGCCGAGAGGGGTGTAGTGGCGAAGGAAGAAAAAGAGGTGAAAAATCGCCTCCCCCTCCCTCTCCCCTCAGGAGATCGCTCAGGATCCGCCTATGGGAATACTCGAGAACTAAGTTTGAGAATGTGAGGCTCTACATAGGCAGAAAATATTTTCCTGAAATTTCAGCCACACAGCTTTTCAGTCTTTTCCCCACCATAACTTTCGCAAAGCTGTAGAAGAAACCGAGGAGTATTTGAAATCTGTATTTGAATCTCCGAGGTCGCATGTGGGCAAAGGACATTATTCCAAAATTTCAGCTTCCTATCTTTTATGACTTCCGAAGCAATAATTCTTACCGTCGAAACTTTCATGTGGCGGTAAATGAGGCCCAGGCTTAACTGAAAACAAAATTTGAATTTGCGAGGCCGTACGTGGGTTGAAAAAATTGTCGTTAAATTTTAGTTGCCTAGCTTCCTTGGCCCACGGGATAATAATTTTGTCCGCCAAAGTTTCACGGAGCCATACGTGATACGCAGGCGCATGGGAAGGCTGGATTTAAATTTGCGAGTCGCACTTTGGCGAGGAACATTTTGCTAAAATTTCAGCATCCTAGCTTTTATGGTTCCCAAGCTGAAAATGTGAAACAAAATACGCTCGGACACATACGCAAACAGAAGCATGATAATACGCTTTTTGTGCTGCTACAGCGCAAAACGCACAAAAATATGTTATATATATATATGGTTGCTCATCGTTTTCAACATATGTAAATATTTATAAACACATGTGATTGATATATATTCATAAATACTTGTATGGCTAAATATGCCAAGAATACAGAGCATTTACAAATATTTGAACAACTAAATACATTTGATTAACTACATTACCAAATATATTTAATTTTTTCAAGGTAAAAAATGTTTTTAGATATTTGCTTACAAGTCAGTATCTAACTGTAAAGAACATAAGCGATTTACCGGGTAACACCACAGCTCTCAAATGTGGCAAGCGCAATTCTACACGGAAAAATCGCATAGTGCTTGCTATCCTCCATATCGATCCTGACATAACTGCTGTAACTATAGTAAGTCTTGAAATGAAGCGATTTCTAAACTGGCCATCGAAGTCTACACCACTTAAACTTAGTTGTAAACAGTAAAAGAGGCTTGCAAGCATAAACAATATTGCCGAGTCGGCAAAGATCTGCCAGAAGAGTATCGCTGGCCACTCCTACTGCGGCAGTGTACACAAACTGTGATTGACACCAAACTCTCGAGACTTTTCAGGCTGCGGACTGCGATCGTTGGTATATGGTTGCGGTCAAGGCACTTCAGTGGATGTGAAAGAACCAGGACAAGTGTACATCATTCGAGCTGGCACCTTTACCACTTTCGGACACGTAACTTTGAATTCTGCTATCCCTTCCGAATCCTGGAAATAGTAACAAACTTCAGCTAATTTCCGGCATTATTCATTTATAACACATTTTCGGCAACCGTGCTAATGTAGAAAGGCATAATAACAAGGCTCCGATTATATATATGCATTTATTGGGAGCCTTGTTCCGGTTTTCCAGCTCGGAGAAAGCAATTTTGGGAATTTTGTTCTCAGCTCCATTGTATTCATTATACTACTAATATGCAATTAACTCAAAAAAAAAAAACCTAGGAGTGCGGATCTAAGATCAGAAATGTGGGTCATAGATGACTTAAAGTTGTTTATTGTCTCTGAATTCGCTTCCACTGAAAGCCAAAATGGTTGAGTGGCAGCAAATAGTAACAGCAACTTTATTTTCTATAACTTTATAGACTGAGACTTCGTGGCTACTCTGGTTAACTTCGTAGAGCTTGTGGGTTGAGACTACTTGACTACTTTTTCGTGTGCGTTCAAAAATAGTGCTAGTACACTGCCTACAGGTTGCAGTTGTTGCGCAAAAGTTTGCAGCAAACAGAAGAGCGTAATATAATTATATATTTTTGATATAATACGGTTTTACATATTTTTTATAGCATAATTAATATCTCCGTCAAATAAGCGCTGGAGAGAAAATGATGTATGTTGCATTTCTCCAGGAAAAGAAAGAACGCAGGATGAGCGCAAAATACGCGGCAATGAAACAAAAAGTCTAATAAAATTTTTTATTATGGATTTTATCAGCGCAGCACTTACATTGTCATCAAAATGCCATTCGCCGATGCTGCGATCGCAGATGAATGGAAAGACTCGCGAGCGGAGTCCATTTTCAACAGGATCGGTCATATTTTGACAGATGCCGACACGTGCCCAATTCTCGCTGAGATGAACACGCACAATGGCGTATTTGTTTCGTTCCACGCATTCTGAACGGCACACTGAAACACTCCTAGCTGCTGAAAAAAGAATTTGCAATACTGTTTTATAGAAAAATCTAGTAGTACTGGTGAGTTAGTAGGTTATACCAACTGTTCCATTCAGCGTTGTGTAAATACTGATAAGTCCATCAGTGCAGCGGAAGGGTCCAGTCGTACTCTTAAATGAAGTTAAATGTGTTCGGCAAACTTAGAACCAAGCATGAATGGGAATTCGCTAGCAGCATCGATGTATAAGGGGACACAACGACGAAACAGTAGTATGCCCCGATAGAGAATAAAAGGATAAGATGTAAGAATGATATGTATTTTGGAAAATTCAAAGCAGAGGCAAAAGAAAAAGTGAAAAGAGAAATAAAATTGATCAGTAAGATATTTGCTTACTACAGTCAGGCAATTAAACGAGTGGGAATGCATAGCTAAGCAAAACCTTTGATGTATCTTGTAATGTGATGCTGTTTGACAAATTTTGTTTCCTCTAGCGATTGTTGTTTCATTTTAGTCCTTAAAGGCTCTTGTATTTATTCGAACTGAAAAATGCACTGCAATGAGTTCGTCTCTAATTACAATCAAAGCGAATCCGGGCAACTGCTTCTACTGTCCTAGAGAAATAAAGAGTTTGAATCCACAAGTTACCGGCCCATATATAACAAAGAAATGACTCTCGAGCGTCTGTTTTCTTGAATTATAGCAAGTGAATTCAAATTCAGACTGTTTTTCTGGCCCCGAAATAGAATGCAAGGGCAAAATATTTTGCAAAATAATGCTAGCACATAGCAAGACGCACAGAGCTTAAAATCACTACACTTTCCATGTGAGCAGAACGATTTACCTGCATTTAAGTTTACTTTGCAACACTAGGAAGGTAACTGTTGAGGCTTTGTCTAATACTTTCTAAACTCAGTAACCAGAGAAGCTAGAAAACTTTTACAAGGGCCTTCCCTGCTCATAGCGTGACCTAACAGATTTTACTGACTCACTTCAGAAAATTTTTATTGAGAGAATCTTTACTTAGAGAAGTTATGACTTCCCTAAGTGAGAAAAGTAAGTCAACAAAGTTATGACTTCTTTATTTAGTTGTAAGTCTTAACTTCTCTAAGAGAAATTATGACTTCATAATTTTGCATACAGTCAGAAAAATGTTAACGAAAGCTCATTTGCAATAAATTACTTCGAACAAGTTTTAGAAACATTTGCTAAAGAAGCAGTTCTAACAAGCTTTCGAGATAGCCTATGCGTAATCCACTAAAAATAAAGAACTAAATGACGACCTCAATAATTTATGAGTGAAGAATTTGTAATGGGAAGGACGGGCTGAAGAAGTAATGTCACGATGATATCACTAAAAAACTGCAATACAATGAAAACGAACTCTTGTATGACGCTGAGAAAAACGAAGGGAGTTTTTCTTCTCAGGGCAATTATGAACATCACTTGTGTAGAAGAATTTAGTCCGGAGAACAAAATTAACTGGTGCTGTTCAAATGAAATCACAGAAAAAAAAGGCAAGTTTCGCCAGTGTAGTCCCAAAAAAGTTTGAAAAAAAAGAAAAATCTACAATAGAAGAAAGAAGCGTTTTGGGAGAAAATGCTTCTCTGGGGCAATTTTACAGAGAATTCCCAAGTGGTCATTGATCACAGCAGTTGCGAATGGCGTCATTTCTAAACCAAAAGTATTTATAAAACTTGTTGATTGTTTCCAGAAGGATGATGATTTTTGTGAGGCAGTGAGGAAGTTTGCTGCTGAAAGAGTGAAATGTAATAATGGGCAAACAGATTCCTCTTTCTGTGCAGCAATCTGACGTATGAGTCAATATGCTTCATCGAAACGTGAAACAACAAATGAGAAGTGGTATTTCCGACATCCCGATAACACAGATGAATGAGAAGCCTCCTTTGAACAAATAACCGTAACGCAGTTGCAACTGTTTTCGTGGATTCCTTTTTTTCTTTATCAGCATTGTTCAGAATATTCCTCCTAATCAAAAATCAAACGCCTCCATATTCACTTTTTATGACAAATGAAAGCATTCGAAAAGTGATACGAGTTGTAGCAAATTTCATCTGCAGCTACGCACTGGCCAGGCAGCCGATGGCTCTCTCATTTGATCGTTGCTTACAAGCAAGCTGATGACGTATTTGATCTCCGGCGTTTTGTTTTGACGTTCCGCACATGAAGCAGCACTGTCTTAGCCATCTTACGGATTTGATGTCCCTCCAATCACTTTGTCGTAGCATCCTGACAGAGGCGGATAAAAATCACAGATGCAGATTTATGATGAGTTTTTGAAATTAGCTCGATTAGTCCACTAAAAGTTCCTTGTACGTTGCTGAGATGTTTGAGGCCTGGGCTGATCATTTGGTGAAAAGGAAAAATTAACGGTGACTAAAGCGGTTGGATGGTACTCATGCAGCATTCTGCATCCTAATTATGCGTTTTTGCATGTATGCAAGTGCAATCATTAAAGACGTGCGCCAGGTGTGCCTGTGGGATAATGGGTTTTTATGCGTTTTTGCGTATATACAAATTGCAGAAGACGTATATTGTGAAGAGGCTGTCTGTGTGCGTGCGAGTGTGTGTTTGTGTGTGTGTGTGTGTGTTCGCACTTTTTGTCGCCCACTTTCAACTCGTGAACCAGAAAAGCTGGAAGGTTGAAATTTTGGGAGTATGTGCCCATACCATGTGCGACTCTCCTATTTTAATTTCATCCTCCGCGGGTGCCTGGGTGCTGCGTACCGATGCTTTAAAAAATATGTAAATTTTTTGGTGGGGAAGCGATCTCGGGAACCACACAAGCTAAGGAGCTGAAAATCTGTAAGAATATTTCCTGTGTATGTGTTAGCTAAAGACTTCAAATTCAGTCCCCACGTATGCACGTGTGTATGAAAGTTAGAGGGAAGGTTTTAGGGAGAAAATTGCTAATTTGGGTACCAGGAAAGCTAGAAAGCTATAATTTTGGGGGAATGTTTCCTATTCAAGTACACTCAAATATTTCGAATTCAGTCCCAAGCTATGCGCTGTACTCATGTAAGGGCGCACGAAAGTTCCTGGGGAAAATTACTAACTCGGCAACTAGAAAAGCTGGAAGGCTGAAATTATAGAAGAATATTCTCTGTCCGAGTACAACTCAACTATTTCAAATTCAGCCCCGGCTATGCAATGTATTCATGTTAGGGCGTATGAAATTTTCTGCAGGAAAATTACTAACTCGGGAACCAGAAAAGCTGGAAAGCTGAAATTTTGAGGGAATGTTCCTTATCCAAGTACAACTTAAGTATTTCAAATTCAGCCTTGAAGTATGTGTGATTGTTACGTGCAAGCACCTAGAAGTTTTGGCGGAAAAATTTGTTACTGAACAGCTAGGTTACTTTTAAAGGACGACCGTTGAATGGAAATTGCACATTTACTATATGTAAAATGTATAGTGATTTATGCTAGTAACGGCAAAAGGCAGGTGTAAAGCAACAACCATTCATGCAGATAACGACCTGAGTAATTCAAGTCCGGTGCAAAAACGAATGATCGCACGAGCCCGCCCAGTGCGTTCCAGCCTAGGTTGCAGTATTATGTGCTGTAGTAAGATCCGTTGAATCCCAGTAGTTAGAATTTGTGGCGTACTGGCCCTCGAATTTCAGGAAATTAATTGTTCAGCTTTAATTGAAGTTCAGGAAATAAATTGTGTCAGGAAACATCTCAAAATTTCAACTTCCCAGCCTTTCTGGTTCCCGAGTTGGCGGACTTTCTTGCCAAAAATTCTAACGAGCCGTATTTGAGGACCATGCCTTTCTAGGGCCTCGACTTAAAGTTTTCAAGTTATACGTGGGCTAGAAACGTACCCGCAAAATTCCGGCCTCCCAGCATCCCTGGTTCCCGAGCTAGTGATTTTCCTTCAAAAACTTTAACAGGCCGCACATGAAAATCACGCGCGCTTGAGGATTGAATTTGAAGTCTTTGAATTCTATGTGCACGGGGGACATAACCTCAAAAGTTCAGCTTCCTAGCTTCTCCGATTCCCGAGTTGGCAATTTTCCCGCCAAAACATTCAGGCGCTCGTACGTGGGGCCCAGATGAGCGTGAGGGTTGGTATCGTAGTTTAGGAGCGGCATTTGGCCAAGGGAAACCAGTGGCAAGATTTTGGTGCTGGAGCTTGCTTAGCTGTCGAGTTGCTTGAAACTGAAATTCCCTGCACATAGTTACGAGAAATGCTCAACTTATGGTTACGAGAAATGCTCAACTTATGGTTACGAGAAATGCTCAACTTTATCAAAAAGTCAGAAACGAGTACGTTTTGCAGCGAACGACTGCCCTCACCCAAACATGTGAATGAACGTTCAGTTCATTTGCACGCTTGAATTTTTTGACAAATAACCGCTCTAGTAACACTTTCACTTTTTAGTGAACTGCAAATTTACATTTTTTTTAAAAAATTTGCATTTTCCATTTTTTCAAAAAGCGAGCATTTACCGGAAAAACGACTAGACTTCATGTAAGAAGCTGGTAATAATGTACCTGGAGGCCCGTGTCGTTCTATAACGCGCCACCTTTATCCCAACCAACGCCCTTCCTCCTGCATGCCGGAAGGGGCCAAAGCAAGGCCAATATGAGCTCAAGTGTTAGACTACAGCGCAGCGACCATTCCTGCTATTGGTGACCTGCGAGTTTAGTGCCAAAACGCATGATCGCATTGGCAAGCCTGGTGCGTTCTAGCCTGGGTTTGCATTTCATGTGTGTATGAGTGTGTGTGTGTGTGTGTTGTGTCTGTCCGAGCATTTCAACTCGGCTAGCAAGCAAGCCCCGGCGCTAAAATTTTGCCAGTGGATTCCCTGGCCAAGTGTTACCCCAGGCTTTGTTATATCAACAGCCTCCAGGCGCGTCTGGACAAATGAAAGTTTTGGCGGGGGAATCGCTAATTCGGGAACCAGGAAAGCTGGGAGGTTAAAATTTCAACGGGATGTTTCCAGCCCATGTACAAATTAAGGATATCAAGAGTTCCCGCGTATGACCCCGTGAAGTTTTTGGCGGGAAAATTGATAACTCAAGAACCAGGAAGGTTAGGAGGCCGAAATTTTT